GATTCCAAGCATTTAAAACATTTTTGAACATTTTAAGACACTTTTAAAATTGAAAAAACGTTAAGCGAAACAGGGGACCTAAAATGCATTCGCTATGCGACGCATGGTCCCAAAATCGCCCATAGGAAACATCGTTAAATGATGCATAGAATTCTTTAAAAAACCATCGTTAAGCGAAAACATCGCTAAACGTGGCACTCGTTAAGCGAGGCACCACTGTATTTGAGTCACAGGCTTCCTTTTGCCTTAGAAGAGGTTAGAAGAAGTCATTCTTTCCAGCAAAAGCATACTAGCAAACACTCCACTTTATGCTACTTATGGACATAGCTGAGAAACAAGTGAAACATCCCATCTTCTTGGATAGACAAATGAATGCCACTCATCCCACAGTTAAAACAAATGTTCAGATAATTGCCTATTTCTTGCTCTTATGACATTTTCTCTCCAGCAATGCTCCTTTGTTGTGTATATCTTCTCAACTGGACCTGGAAAGGAAGCTGGTGTTGAGATGTTCCAGTCAGACATAGTTTGCCACTGAAGGGAGCACTGCTTCTAGAGGTGTGATTACATCTTTTTTAGTTTTGCCTTCAGGCTACATATTTTTACATATAGATAATGCCAGTTGTTTTTTAACTTCTCTAAAATATGGAGCATAAGGTTCATGAAGAATTTGACATTTCTATCTGAGGCAGCAGAATATCTCAGGGCAGCACTACTGTCTTTTACAAATAGTCATTCTAAATTTGGCACTCTTAAATGACACTGCATTTGAGGCTTCACATTATTTTTGATAATAAATGAGTCTTCCTCTTTAGCGGAGCAGCTTGTTTCTTGAACTCATTGCTTTTTCAAATGTACTGAAAGAGGAGCTCACATAACTGTATAATCTGTGAGGATGCAATGCATGTTTAATTATGATACATGTACTTTTTAAGTTACTAACTTTTTCATCTCTTCAGAATGAAAAGTTTAGATCGCCTACATATTCCAAGACATTCTGACTAACAGCTAATTGTGCTGTATCTTAATGTTACAGCTTGAACATTTAACTCAGGCTGACAGCCTGCTGTTGAACTAAAGAAATCAAAGGTCTTGCATGTATGGGGTGTGTGTGTCAGCATATTTATTTTGAACGTTGTAACATTGTCTATTTCAACACCTTGCAACAGAGAGTCCATGTGGATTGGTGACAAGATGTGTAATACCGTTGTCTTGTAATTTGAGATTTAATTGCCTGATTAAAGTTTTAAGAGTCTGTGAGCGGGTTCAGTTGAATCTTTTGGCAGTTCCTCACTTTTGT